TGGCACAGGCAGGGAGATGTGGCGGGTTGCAGGGGAGCACAGGTTTTATAAGAGGCATGTTAGCCCCCCCCCGGGCTGGGATGCGGGGGGGTTGGCCCCCGAGGTGGGACGGTGAGGCCTGCTGGTACGGGGTCAGAGCTCGCTTGGGGTGCAGGCTGTTTGCTGGGTCTGCTGGGGTGACCGGTGGCTGCAGCAGGACGCCGTGGGGTGAGGCAAGGTGAGGCTGTGATGGGGTGTGTTAATGGGCGTTGTGCTGAGTTTCCCCAGGATGCCTGTAACCTGCCTCCTTTGCAGGTGTCACAGCAGCCCCAGGCTGTGGTCTTTGCAAGGCAATGGCTCTTGTCAGGGTGACTACAGATCTGTTCTCCATGACTCCTGCTTCCCTTTTGGCCACACAGCTCTGAAGTTGACTGTTCATATTTCCTGCGTATGACCTTTTTGTGCTCTCTTGTGACAACGCTGGTTTATCCTTAAACTTAGAGTACATGCAGGATAAACCAGTGCGTGTGTTGTTGAATGCAAGTACTCTTGAGTGCGAGTGCTGCTTTTAGGAAGGCAGTGTGTGGTATGATGGGTTGAGGTCTGTTTTGGGTGCTGGTGTAGGTTTGCTTCATAAACTAAGGTAAATAGTTTACATTCCCTTGGTTTTCCTTTTGAGAAGGGATTAGTAATTCTGCCGAACCTGTTAAGTTGCTGGTGCTGAATAACAATGAAATCAGCTCTGTATAAATAGAGAAAACAAGTGTCCTTTAATAGCACAGGGCAGAAATCATCACTCCATTTTAAATTGTGTCATAAAAACTGAGAAAAAGACATGTCTATAGCTTCATGATTGACTTAAGTAAAGGATCTGAATTTCATTCTGTGTATCCTGCTAGCATGTTTATTCTGAACGCTGCGTAGATTTGAGCTTGTTTCTTCCTGATGGCTTTCACATATGTATGAGTTTGGCAGGTTGTGCGTGCCAGCTGTGGAGTGGCTCTAAGGATGTGGTACAATAGGCTGAATAAAGTGACACGCCTCTGGTTCACCTTGATTTATGGAATGTAGCAGGTGTGGCAAAGCACAGGATTGTTAAAGAGGAAAAAAATAATGCCAGGTGAGCTAGATAAGACTTCTCACAGCTATTCACATGTTGTGTGTCAAGTTCAAGTCAAGGTCTTTTTGTCTGTTTTTCTTTTTTTTTTTTTTTTTTTTTTTTTTTTTTTTTTTTTTTTTTTTTTTTTTTTTTTTTTTTTTTTGGTTTATTACACTAACTCAGCTTTGTAAATATTCATGTGACAGCTGATCATGTGGAGGAGGGAAGTGTCCTTTGTGAATTACTTTATTGTTTCCTTCACAATATTTATTACACAGAGTGAATTAGAGGTCAAGGGAATACATAACAGGTGCAATCTTTTAGCCACTTTCATCAAATTACGATTGAGGTCTTGTTACAAGTTTTATGCAGAGATACAGACAAATTTTAAGCATCAAGGCTCTTTTGCTAACCTAGTTTGGCAACATACTTACTCAGCTATTCAGTCCTAAAAGGTGTGAGTAATCTCTTGTTTACCCTTACCTGTGTGCTTTGAAACCTATTCACGGTATTCACCTATTCATGAGCCCAGCCTAATATAATGTGTCCAATTTGACACATCGTAGAGGCAGCATTCCATACCAACTCTGGACTTCGAACTGGGCTAGCCAACACGTATCACATGTTTCGTACAGCTCTTGGATCCATTTACAGTGTATGCCTACAAGAAATGGGTAAGTTACGTGTACACTTACATTAAAAGAAGTAAAACTGGGAACTACCAAGATGTTTGCCTTCCCTCACCTCTCTCTGTACTGTATTTCACCCCACATTTGTCTGTATAGACTGCAGTTCTTTTAAGCACTAGACCATACTAAATCCTGCCAGAAGTTGTGCAGATTTACTGCTGTAGCAGAATTGAGCATTTGCAGCTCAAGAACCATTACACGCGTTTGTTTGTGTCAGTGGAATTTAGTGAATGACAGGAAGTAAAGGGTAGGCAACCTCAACATATTCTCAGTGTTTGGCTGGGTTCAGTAAAACACTTAATTTCTAGATGGGAAACTATGCCCTCCTGTTGGCAGTGTTGTGGAGGGGAGGCAACTCCTTGTTTATTTAGATGAAAACTAGATGTTGCACATGGATAGTTCAGATACTTAAGTATTTTCTTAAGAAAAAGCAGGGCATTTTCATTACTTAGAGTTAAAAGAACTGAATACTGAAAGAGAAACATTTTTCTATATTTTTCCAGGGTTTTTTCTCAATTTTATCCGTGTGACAGAGATCTCTGGTCATTTTTGCTGAGTAGTTTTTTAATCCATCATTTACTGTGTTTTGATGCATCTTTATATAGTTGAGATGAAGAAAAATAGGAAGACGTTTCATAAAACCGTAAAAGGGCTAGGTGACTAACAGCTGTTAGGCTGTATTAGATTTTAAGCTTTTAGTGCCCATTTAATCTGAAGAATAGGTTGTACATGGAGGCTATAACCAAAATAGGGCTCTTAACCATGCTGTTTCTCAAACCGTCTATGGAGCGATATCCCTAAGGCTGCAGGACGGTGATACAGAGTAGTGTGGTGTCTCTGCCTTCTCTATTTTGGCTGCTAGAGCCTCCACTGTGAGCAAGCTTGAAGGCAGCTTGCTGGGCTTTCTAGGGGTGCTTAGTTTCAGAGGTAAACAGGGATGTTGAAATGATGCCAGATTTTAAAGGTAAACAAAAATGTTTTCCTTGGAGCAGTTGGGTGAATAAAAAGTCAATATTTCTTAGGCTCTCAGATATTCTAATGGAGTTTCCAACCATGGAGTTGGAGAGCAAATCAAACAAAATTTTATAAAAGAGACTGGAAGACCACAAATAAAGGGCTTTGAAACATCCAAATCAGGAATAATTGTTTAGGCCCTGCAGCAGGTAAAGCAGGTTTTCAAGTGTCTGTTGACAATGACTACTCCTGGTATTATTTTTAACAACTAAAAGCTGTTGATAACAGATGAGAGATGAGTGTCCTGCGTGAAATAATTATGTCTAGTTCCCAGTTGACAAGTGTCTGTCTAATGCAGAGTCAAATTTACTGATGTGTTGGCTTTAAATATGCCTTTTATGCAGTCAGTAGCAAAATCTGGGTGAAGGTGAATCACGGTTATTACGGCGGGGTCCTGAATTGATGAGCCAGCCCCTCCAGGCTGCAGAATCCAGGTCAGTCCTAGTTGAGCAACAAATGGATTTCTGGAGGCGTGCTTCAAGGATGTGCTGACTCTTGTGTGAAATGGTGTGAGGATCAAAGTCTTCTGCCGAACCACTGCCTTCTGCAATGGTTTTTCTGTGTGTTTTGTTTTCCGTACTACCTCTTAAATAGAGTACAGAAACTGCTATAGCTGCACATGTCAACAGTTAATATGAAACTGAGCTGAAGCATGCGTTTCAGAAGATGAACTCCATATGCACATATACAGCACAGAGAAAACTGTCAGCATACCTATGCAGCTTCTTGTCCTTCGTAAGGTAGCACTTCATAGCAGCGTGGTTCCAGTGGTCCTCTTGGGTGTCCAGAGGTGACCATCCAAAGGCTGGAGCAGAACAGGGCCGTACGGAACAGTCTTGTTCCTTCTTCTCACCAAATCATTCCCATTTTGAAAAAGAATGGGGAGCAGCAAATGCTCTGAAGAGCGCGGTTTTTCACAGACTGTTCCTGTTATGCAGGTCTGTGAGTGTTAACGGCTGTAGGAGTAACTGCGTAGAGGAACTTGAGTCTCTCATTCTTGTAGAGAGCT